ATTTCATTCCATGATCTTTAACTTTTAATACTTCTTGTAACACATAGCTAATTACAAAGAAAGAAAAAAAGATAATAAATCCACTAGACAATTGATTTACCTGCTTCAATAGAAATAATAAAAGATACCTGGTAAAGAGATCCTTTTCCATCATATTACCACAGACCCCTCTTGAGTGCTAGTTTTGGGGAAGCTTCTCAGGCTGAGACTCAAGCTATGAATCCCAACAATTAGAAGACTTAGGTACTCGACAAAGGAAAAATACTGCCCTATTCAGAGCTAATTTTGGAGCAATGTGCTGAGCCTTTCTGAGAAGGCTTTGAAAAGGAATTCCAGAGAAAATACAGAACAAATGCAGAGCAAATTTACAAAGTTCAAAAATTCCAGAAGTCTTTGGAATGGTTGCAATCCTGGGAAGTCTATCAGATACCAAGGCTGAGTGGCTTTTGCAATAAAAGCTATAGTGCTGACATACCAAATGGTCCCAAAGGCCAACCACATGACATAAATTAGTTTCAAGGGCCAAGGCAGTGTGGCTGGAGTCAACTGATCTGACTAGAATAGCAACACTGTAATCTGAGAACGTGTCGATAGCAATGATGCACAACCAATAGCTCTGGGGGCAGGAGAGTATGTGTGAGTCGGGGGAGCCTGAAGTAATCAATCTGCCAGGAAACGGGAGGGAATAACACTGAGCAGTGTGGACTCCCTTTCTGCAAGGCTACTAGGTCAACTTTCAGCAGGAGTCACAAGGCTGGTACCAAATGGCAGCCTCTGTATCAGAAACACAAATCCTTTACTTTGTGTCCCATCTGTAACAGTGTGTTGCCAAGTCCAGTACAATGAGGGACCAGGCAGGTGGGGCATAGTAGCTCATTAAGGGCTGCCCTTGGGAATTATGTATCTTGTCCCTATCTCCTTGAACTGCTTCTAGGCTGCCATGAGCTGAGCAGCTTTCCCCTGCCATGATGTTCTGCCTCACCTCAGGCCCATAGGAATGGAGGTGGCCAACCATGGACTGAGTCCTCTGAAACCAAATTGAACTTTTCCTCCTCTAAGTTGTTCTTATTAGGTATTTTGGTTAGTCATGTAAAGATGATCAACACAGAACCCAAAACCCCAAGGGTACATCTGGCTGGAGGCTGCCTCCAATCAGCACAATCATCAATCATAGGAAATTCCATATCTCTAAGGGAACATTACCTCATGTGGCATCTAAGATACTGGCATTATCTAAATGGGGATCTTTTTGGTTGGGAAGATCCCCTGTGGAACTTATTGGACAAAAAAGTTTAAGCATATGGTCAATATAGAGGGAACAATAGTACCCTGAACTGGTTCAACGGTCATACTCACAAGATCATATTAGCCTTGTTTTCCTACTGTGAACCATGCCTAAGCCCCATCAGTTGAATTAGAGTATCCTGTCCTCTTCCCCATAGGTCTGGGTAAGATAGTAAATTGGCCACCTACATATAATAAAGCTATAAAAATTTCAGTCCCTTTCCTCCCTCAATTCCCCAAGGATTCTCATTCAGGTAGATGTGGCCTTTGATCCTCTTTTAGGACAAAGAGATTTTGGGCCCATTCCTACCAACTTCCTTAAAGAAAATTAGGTGAGGTTAAAGGAGGAGGGAGAAATTAGGGGAAACAGGGTGCTATATGCAAGGATTAATATCTCCTTTCAGTTTTGAGTAGTATGGCAGCTGCTTGCTACTGAAAAGGAGGGGCAGGGAGAGGAGGGGAAGGGAGGGGAAAGGGGAGGAGAAGGGAAGAAAAGGGGGAGGTAAAGGGAGGGGAAGGGAAAAGAGAAGAAAAAAACAAATTAACAACAAAAAATAATAATTCCAATAATTTTGGTCCAACCAAAGCAAGATCATCTGACAATATCTATTTTAGCTTTGGTAACTCCTTTTCCTTTTTTTTTTTTTTTAAGTTCATCTTAATCAGTAGCATCTTCCCAATTACCAAGAAATATCACCTAAATTCTTATCTGGTTTTAACAGAAAAGGTACAGCAGTTTTCTAAGGTAGTGAGACTGACTGAAATAATTTATCTAGAATTTTGGGGGGCATTCTCCACTAGGCCTCCTTTATCAGCACTGTAAACTCAACTTAGAGTAGTAAAAGACCAAATACTAGTCAATGCCTTGCCTATTTCTTTCTACAGGAGTTTCAGGGATATCTCCCCAAAAGGCTGTGGTTCCCTAATCATAGCAAGGACCCAGTTTTAGAGGGTAGTTTCTAACATATCTAAATGAATCTAGGGTTCGCATGATACACAGCTAGGAGGGGCTGAACCCTACAGGGCCAGCATATATATAAAATACTGAACAAGTATTATATACCTTGCCTCTTTACCTCCCTAGCAAGATGGCCTAAGCTCTACCATTCACTAAGTTTCTGCCTACAGGGGTTGTGAATTTCCTTCTTCTGGTCTTACTGTAAGTTTGTGTCCCTGTTACTATTATATAAAATAAGGCAGAACTTTCTGCTTACTCAAGATATATCTCAGTACTAACTGTTCCTATGGATGGACCTGGAGTTAACCAGCAGATTAGAAAGGAAATTCCCATCCCCAACCCATCCCAATCAGAAAAAACAGCAACACCCAGAGGCCACTTGGGTCTCTAAAACCTTCTTTCTGATATTTGGAATGTAATCATGGCCCCAATTATTTATTAGCAGGCAATAAGGTTGAGGACTCTGAAATTTGGTCAACATGTTTGCGAGCAATTCCTATGATCTTTCTTTAAATGCTGTTAATGGTCCAGAGTCTTCATCTACTCCCAGAGAGTCCTATCTCAGTCAGCATCCTCTCCTAATTACCAAAACTGCCAAGAGAGAAGTGTTTGAGATTTTGCTCTAATACAAGCTAACAAATTGATCTGCCAGTTTCATGGGCATCCATAGAAGACATGAGACTCCTGGGTCACATACAAAGCATTATAGCACTAATGACACATCAAGCAGCATGATTATCAGCATAATTTCACCAGTTCTTCCTAACACCCAACACCCAGAGGAGTGCCCTAGATAGGCTCAGATGGATACCCACACATGTGACAGGTTTCATACAAGGGAGAAACCTTGAGCTTAGAGAACTCAAATCTCTTTTATCAATGACCAGTAAGCACACCTTTTACTCTGGAGATTGTATGCACACAACCTCTGCTGGGGGAGGCGGGGTGGGAGAAAGGAAGATACTCTCTTCCAAGACAGCTTGCTCACTATAAAAACATCCTGGGGCCAGGCGGTGGCACACTCCTGTAATCCCAGAGGCTGAGACAGGAGGATCTCGAGTTCAAAGCCAGCCTCAGCAACAGCTAGACACTAAGCAACTGAGTGAGACCCTGCCTCTAAATAAAATACAAAATAGGCCTGGGGATGTGGGTTAGTGGTTAGTGCCCCTGAGTTCAAAATTCAGGACCCCCAAAAAAACAAAAACAAAACATCCTGAGTAGGACAGTCTAAGACACAGGGACAACAGTTTCTCACTTAAAAAGACATATAGAAATGCAAGAGATCTACAGAGACTTGCTTCTCCACAGGTTTACACTGTAGAAAATGCAAACAAAAACAACAAAATTTTGCTGTTTGTACTGAAAGCTCTCAGACTTATGGTGAAATACTTAAGTTTACGACTTACATGAAAATATTACAGAAATCTTATAGATTTTTAGAGCTTACCAAATACCAAGTTTAACCATCTCAACCCACTTCGCCAACTTCATTAGATAAAATTACTCAAAGTCTGCTCTTCTTTCTTTTTTTAAATTCGACTAACTTCACACATAAGTCCAGCTAATCTTCACTGCTGGATGTTAGCCAAAACAGAGTTCTTCTGATAAACCCTCAGGAGAGTCAGGAAGGCTTGATTAAAGGGGAGATTTTAAAGTCATAGATTAAAATGTCAAAGTAGATTTCTTCTGAGGCAATTCAGTTTGGCATGACAACAACATGATTATCTTAGTAAGAACTTTCAAATTCTAGAACAAAAATATACTAAGCGCATCTTAATAACCCAAGAAATAGGACTGCAGTTATGTAAGGGAAGCTGGCTTATCTTAACATTCATCTATTAAGCCCCATTTTGTTCCATGACCCAGGCTTCTTAACAGACTGCCATGACAATTAAACCTCCATCCTCCTAAGAGCCTGTCTACAATGGCCTACGAAGAAAGGGATAAGAGCCAAATTCCAGGTTGGCCTCAATTATGTCTAAATGTCAACGTGTTTTCCCACACAGTGAGACATATGAACATCCTGAAGCAGACCTCTTTTAAAGGAACAGGGTCAGGTTCCCTAGAAAGTTTTTTCACCTCAAAGGATAAACAGGAATGTGCTGTCTTTCTGATTCTATGGTAAGATAGAATCACAGATATGTTTATCATTCCATTATAATTCCTTACACCCTTAGACTGTATGTTCTCAAACCACTCTGTTTTAGAGAAGATCTCAAATGTTTTAGTAAAGTACAAACACCATCAGTCTAGTGTTATTGTGTCCATGTGTATGTCCTGGATTAAGGCACTTTTTTTGTTTAGATTACAAACCACATTACTTGATAAATATCTGAGAAAAATGGGAATGGGTGAGTTGGAAATGAAAGTAAGCTTCACTTATTCTATCATTCCAATCCTTCTAAGAAAAAAGACCCCTGCAAGTGTTTGGTTTTCTAAATAGTTTATAACAAAACAAAATCATATTTTTGCAAAAAAAAAAGAGCCAAGATTCTTATTTTGGTATAATTTATTCTCTTTGGGTCAAAGAGATCAACAATAAGGTCCTCAATTTCCTTGGCAGCACCCACTGCCATTCCCACCCCTGTGCTACATGAATGAATTTATTCATTTATGTCCTGCTTTATCTACAAAGGACTTCTTTTTTTCTTTTTTCCCTAGAACTATTAACATCAGGTTAGTTCCACTGTGCTTTTTCAAGGGAGATTTATTTAAAAGGGATAGAAAGATCATTTTCAACAAACAAACAAAAACTTCATTTTTCAATAATGAAATATTGTGCTTTATTCCATAACTCTGGGTTTAAAAAAATGCTTCATAGTATTTCCAGAATAAGATTCAGTAGTTCTAACACCAAAGGACTATGGCCTTTTACCCAAGAGACAGAGTTGCTTATACTGGCATCAAGGTAACACACTTTAACATCTCATTTCCTGATGTTAAAAAGGACAAACACTTGCTTCTTTAATCTACAGTGAATATAAAACACCTTAAAAGCTATTTTCACATGCCAAACTTTCACAGCACATTTTCTACCCAAATAAACACACACAGTATAATCCATATAGTGATGTTAACTCATAATCTATTTCCTCTACCAAACCTGAAGCAAGTCTTTTAAGTATTAATTACCATTTTTCCAAATAAGATAGGAGATCTCAATATATGAATGAATATTCTCAAAATTGAAATAGTGGCAACATCAACTAATCTCCCAGAGCTTAAACTGTTCGACATTGCTCAATGCTTAAAGAGTTAGTCATAAGAGAGTTGGTGGTAGTGAATTAACTCAAAGCTGGGTCACCCTGGGCAGGAAGTGGCTGAGAAAATTTTAGCAGATTTTAAACTTATTTAAAATTAGTTGGCCACTTTGGCTAAACATACCCAAGACCACCTACTCTACTATTCCCTCCCAGCTCTCACAGCAAGAAAAGTACTCACCAGAATGGACAGGAAGGAGGCCCTTCTGATGAAACACCACCAAGGTAACTGTCTGGATTTTATGGCCATTTAATATATTCCAGAAACAAAATTATACATTTTGTCTTATTATAAACATTAAATAGGCCAGTTTACAGACCACCTAGGCTTTTTTCCCAGATTATACTGTAAATTCACAATGCAGGGCTATCTGAAATGCAGGCATCTTGCGAGGTGATATTCCTGCTATTAAGTGCATGAGGAGGAATACAGTGGTCACACATAAAACTAAAGCAATCCTGGGAATGAACTCCTGTAAATTATGTCAAAAGTATTAAGATCCTGATGCCAGAAAAGAAAGTCTCTCTTTTTAGAATAAGAGAGCTTGAGATCTATACAATAAAATCAGAATTGGTTGAAAGTGATCATGGTGTTTTTTTTTTTCATTTCTAAATATCAACTTTAAAAATAATTCCACAAATTTTTACTGAGTCTATTAACATTTCAGTTAAGTGAAACTGAACTTACTGATATGAAACTAAGCCTCACAATAGGAAGAAGTTTACTTCAATTACTAATTGAAGACCTCAATTAGTATAATTTATTTTTTACTTTTTAAAATGTGTTATAACACAGATAATTTTTAAGAACAAAGTGACTAAAATTAATGTTGCAAATTTCCAGAACTAGTTGGACTAACTTTTTGACAATCCAAAAAAAGGGCTAAGCTAAAATCTCATATTCCAATTGAGTCAGCTACAAAATTTCATACTTACCCCCCATATAACCTCAAAAAATTTTAAATAAGATGGTTTATAACAGAAATTCTGAAAATAAATCATCCTCAAATAGTTTTAGATTTTCCCCATTGGCCACAAATCACATCCAGAAACCCAAACAAAACAATCACTGAAATGTTTGAGATCTGCAGCTGAAATCCAGAGCTGTGAGACGAGAAAAGTAGTATGAAGAAGATAGCCTACCCTCGCTCTCTGCTTGGACAGCACTGGTTTTTTTAGCTCCTAAGCCATGTAAGTGAATATTGTGAGTTCATAAAAGTCAGCAGTAACACTAAAATAATAATAATAACATAAATAAAAATAGGCTCTGGTTAGAGAGAGGGGATCCGTTTACTGCTGCCCTGCTGAGGTACATTTGACCACCAAAGGCAGGAAAGCTATTAGCATCCTGAATTAATGGGTATAGTGGTTTTCAAACAAGATATTTCCATGATGGACACAATGTGGACTCAGCAAAGTTTCTCCTTCAAGAAAAATACAGCTTCTATTTCAAAGAGCACTGATTAGGCTTAATACCATTAGGGAACCATCAAGGATTTGTGTTGTTGTTACTGCTTTTAACCATCAGTTACTTTCTAAACCAAAAATTGAGGGTAGTTAACTTGACCGACAGTCAAGATTTAGGAATGCAAGAGCAAATCCAAGGTACAGACGAGCTTCAGATGTTCAAGACCTTAATGCTTTGGAACCTTGTTAGGTTATTAGGTCTAGCTGTTCTTGTGGATTTTGTCAGTAAAAATTCATTTCCCTCCTAAAAAGCACTGAACACTTTTTGATTTTAGAAATTATCAATACAGTTTATTGGTAGCAATATAAATCAATTACAATTAAAAACCAAACTAAACAGATTTTCCAAATGAATAAATCTTAAGCACTATTAATTGTCTATAACATATCTGGCAAATATGTTTAAAAAATTCAACAATATTAATTTTCTTTGTAAATTAACTGTAAAAAACTAACTGTTGAGTCAATCTCCATTAGTACTTGAAAGTACAAATACAAGTCAAATAAGGTTCAAAAGACCTCATAAAACAGAATAGTCTAAAATACAAAGACAATTTTTAAACTGCTTGATTTACTTCAAAGCATTTTTATACAAAATAATAATAACCACCTTAAAACAGTTCATGTTTTCTGGATTGTACACGAAAGTTCACTTCCAGACGTCTTTTCTGTCAAATATTTAATCTTTCTTCATTGTCAGAATCTTAATTTTCATTCCTGGTTGGATTTTTCTTCCTTAATAATTCTTTTTGTTACTCCACTGAAATATTTCTCACGGAAGGAATTATGACCTTGATATGGCAGAAAATGATCACTTAGCAGATGTGAATACTGGTCCCGGTTCTGGTTGGTAAAAAAATCCAAAATATAAAGATGCGCAAGTTATTTCTTTAGTTTGTCTGCAACCAATGCAGTCATTTACTCTAAGCAAAATCTTACTCTGACATATATTCAAATTTCTTTATTAACTGAATGAGAAATATGCAATCATTTTTTTATCTGGATTATGCTTGGTTATTCAAAGTGTTTTCACTTACTTCATCTCATCTAATCTTCACAATACTCTGCACAGAGGACAAACTCTTTAATTACCCAGAGAGGACAAAGAGACTTATTCCAGTTTTCACAGTCAGAACTACAACTTTCTTCTGATTCTTAGTTCAGCATACACTGAAATTATCTGTAGGTATGGATAAGAATGAACAAACCAAGAAGCTTCTACTCAAGAGAAAGGTATGTACCAGAAGATTACTGAATGTGTATGATGTCATATAAAACTCTCGAGGGCTATGCTCATATTCAGTATGAAATAAAGGATCCCTACCACAGCAGATGAAGGTTCAGGCTAAACAAGAAATTTCTGCACTTTTAGACTTCACATATAAGTAAAGGCTAATGATCACTGGAAATATCAATCTAGGTTTTAGAATATCAAACATATTTTGGCAGAGAAAACGGGGACAAGAAGACTGGCATGAAACGTTGAATCTCACACAATTTCACAAACCATTACAATCCTGTGGGGGGGGAATCTAATTAGAAATAAAATATTATTTCTCATGTACTTCTGAAAATTCATATTGAATATGCATATATTAATGTAATTTTGAAAAAAGATGTGAGGACTCAATGATAAAACATGATGCCTAATTTTCTATCCTAATTTCAGTATCAACCAAGTAGCTAAAAATAACATCTGAAATATGAGTCCTCAAAATGTTTTTGAATTTTTGCACATTCCTCTGTGAAATGAATAATTTCATCCTTCCCTTCATATCTAAATTTAAAAAAAAAACCAATGTTGAGCCAAAACAATATTGACTCATTTGTTCAGAAACTATTTTTACAACACATATTTTTTTAAATCACAAAGAAAATTATTAAACATTCCCAGATGTCTTGGTTCATCAAAAATAAACAGGTGGCTATTTAAATTTTAAGGCACTAAGTATGTTATAACAACAACTGCTACAAGCACATGAAAACATGCCACTGGTTACTAACTTCAGTCTATACAAAATAAATCAATAAATTTTTTGTAGTCAACCTGTAGGCATATAACTAAAGAATACCAAATGAAAGTACACTTTACTAATTATTTATTATGGACCCAAAACTATACTAAATGCTTTTTATGCACTATCTGACCAAATTTGTCAGCTCTAGATGATATATACACAATCATCACCATTTTACTGATGAGGAATTATTTAAGAGTCAAGGCCCAAGATAATATAGCTGATAAGTGGCAGAGCTCAGCTTTGAGAACAGTTCTGTTTGATTACAGAGATTATATGCTTAACTACAATTTAATGAGGAATAAACAGGTGATGAAGTAACTTAACTGTCTACCAAGAAAAGCATGGGAGGATTAGGTGAACTCCAGATAGGGCAAAGGGTGGGAGGAGAAGGAAGGGGGTATGGGGGTAGGAAAGACAGTGGAATGAGATGGACATCACTACCTTAAGTACATGTATAAAGACATGAATGGTGTGAATATACTTTGTGTACAACCAGAGATATGAAAAATTGTGCTCTACATGTGTAATGTGAATTGTAATGCATTCCGCTGCCATATGTAACAAATCAGAATAAAAAAAAAGAACAGAATAACAGAATTAAATCTGAAGTATTATTAACTTCATTCCATTAACTAACAGAACATATTTCAAGGAGATACAAGGAGCCACAGGAATGCTCACGGATATTATAACCCTAGGAGTACAGCTGACTTTGCAGGTCCACATCTCATGACTGTATTCAGGACAACAGTAGTAGAAAACAATGTTCCAGCATCTATCAATTTGCTCGTTTTATCAAAGTCTGACTGAAGGAAAGGAAGTGATATGCCATCAACTGCTCCACCAGGTATTCTAAATTCTGTTCTTATGTCAAATAAGATCACTGGAAAACTTGGCCACTCTGTGAGCTACATCTGCTTAATCCAGCAGAAAAGTTTTTCCTTGGTTATATATTTGAGTTCATGCTCAGATGCCACTATCTCCATCTTCTCACAGTTCTCTGCTTCATCACAATCAGAAACCTGGATCAAATTCCTCTTTCTCTTTACCCCAATTTTGGTCCGTCCTAAAACCTTAGCTTCTATATCCATATCTCCAATCTACTTGTCTCCACCCAGAATCCCTGTACTCTAGTTTAGGCCTCCTCATCTCTCCTCTTTTTTCTCTAATTGGCCAGTTATCCTTCCTTCAGTGGCTCCTTCTTCAGTCTGTTTGCCACACTGAGATCAAACCCAATTTATTAAAGCACAAATATAATATGCTACCCGTTGGTGAAAATCCAAACTTAGTTCACATTTTCCCCAACACTCAGGCTTTCCCCTAACATTTGGCTGTTAGATTCAATTACACATCAGTTTGCTGAATGACATCTCACTCAATGGTCTTTCCTGTACAAGAGGAACTAGAACAGCCAGGCAACCAAGTCCCTCCCAGCTGTGTCCTCCAGTTCTCTGTTCTCCCCCAAGGCTTCAATAGGCCATGCAAGATCACCTCCTGCTCAAAATACACTGTAGATGATTGATTCCATAGAATATCCTAGAGCTACTGGAGTGAAGATGAGGTAGGACAGAATCATGAGGCTCTGGGGGAATGATACAGCTCAGGTACTGACTTAGGCTGCTGGTATGCACCTCCCCAGAAGGAAGGAAGGGGACAAAAGCCAAAGCACAACTGAAGACAGGCTTCCTTCGTGGACTAAAGAGAGAACTTGGTAAAATTGCTTATCTTTGACATGAAGGAGAGAAATAGGGCAAACAACAATAAAGAACATGGAATATAAAAGATCAGAATCAGAGCCAGGAAATGAACAAATAGAAGCCTGAAAAATCCCCAAATAACAAAGCCTATGCTAATGATTTATCAAGGAAACATATTCATATATATTTAGACCCTAAGATTAACTTAGAATACAGCAAAAGCAAAATAACACCTTAATAGACTATGTGTTTTGTTCAGTGCCCCAGAGACATAGTGGCAAAGACACACGTGCTACTAGAAAAGACAGGGCAGACCATTAACCTTAGAACTTCTGGGAGGAAATCTTACTTGCTCTCTCTCCCTTTCTCTCTCAGGTAGTACAGAGTATCAGCATGAATATCTGGGTCCTGTGCTGGAATGTCATTTTCTACAAGACCCACTGCCCCGAGTGTGAAGCAGGACATTCATAAAGAAACTCCTGTACAATCCAAAGGCTCCAAATCCCTTGTTCAGCCAAGGATCTGCCAGGAACCAGTCTATTATCTAGAAGCATAAGTCCTGTTTCCCAATAAGCCAAATACGCCAGGGACTTTGGAGTATTTGCCATCTGGGAAGAAAAGCTATGGTTCATAAAATGTTCCTTATGAAATGTTTAGTGTATATTTGGTTTCACATGTATCATCACATACATACTATTGCACACATAAATATCATATACCTATTATCAACACACATTCAAATATACCCAGGCCATATGAAATATATATTCGATGATGCATATAGTATACTATATTTCATACGGCCTGGGTATATTCTGAATGTGCATTGCTACCTCAGTGCTGGAGGGAACAGCAAACTCGATTTGTTCTCTTGTTTCTCTTCCTGTCTTTCATCCTATCTTTAGCCCTTTGACCAAGGCTCACACTTAAGATGATGATATTCAACTCCACATATTTGTCCTCATCTTTTCAAGACTTTTCTCTATTCACATTCCCTGCCCATCTCCACTAGGAATATCTGCATTTTTGTTGTTGTTATTGTTCAATTCAGTATCTCCAAGGCAAAAGTATTTACTTAAAATGAGAGCATCCTCAAACAATGTAATCTTTGATGTCCTTCATTCATTCAAGTTGGTCCCAGTATTTGACTTTCTCTAACATTTCCAAACTTGTCTATCACTATTATCAATCATAGTATCATCTATGTACCATAGAGCCTGAGTTCTACCCATTTTTAGTAAACAAGATATGTTTGATGTAAAATAAAAACACACATGGAATTAGGAAATGCCACAAGAGGAAACTATGTGATGAAAGATTAAAGATCATCTTCCCCAAATTTCTTAACTATTGATAGTAATCAAGGATAAGTGAATAAAATATTAATATTGTTGTTTATATTATTGTTTATCATCCTTTAACCTGAAATCAATAGTTTTTACAGGAAAATCTGTACTACCCACAAATGGCTACACAATGGGAATATGCAGCTCTCAGACCTCTCATTTATCCTTGTAAGACAACCAGCAATTGCAAATATTGTAAGAAATATACAAGTTCTGATTCAAGGAATGAATATATATATATATATATATATATATATTATATATATATATATTTGCTACAGCTACGTATTTTATATACATTGATTATTAATTTTCTGTATCTCTTCATAACATTTTATCTTCTACATTTTGTGGATAGGGAAATGGAGATTGAGACTCTGCCACAGGTCACATAGCTAGTAAGCAGCATTGCTAGAAGTGTGGCCTAAATCAGACTTTAAAAGCTCATGCTTTTTTTCATTACATTTTTCTTTTCTTTTCTTTTTTAGCAGAAACTACATCAAAACGATGGCTAAAGAGTTAATTTCCCACATGCTAGATTAGTGGGTTGTTCAAAATGAAGTTTGACATTTAGAAGACATTCCTCAATGAACAGCAACATTATGGTAGCACATCTTTCAGATCTAAACTTTTAGACAGAACCCCTTTAACCACTGTCCCACCCAACCAATTTCCTGTCCTATCAGTACGACTAATTCTAAACATAAACCACTCTAGGAATCCTAACACACTTGCCAAAGAAACCAAAGGAAGCCTCACAAAACACTTGCTCACTTTTA